ACCCCACTGTCCATGTCGCCAACAAAGATGTTAAACAGTACAGGTCCCAGTACTGACCCCTGAAGAACGCGACTCGTCACTGGTCTCCACTTGGACATCAAGCCGCTGACAGCAACTCTTTGAGTGCGACTGTCCAGCCAGTTCTTTATCCACCGAGTGGTCCATTTGTCAAATCTGTGTCTCTTCAATTTAGAGATCAGGATGTCGTGTGGGATGGTGTCAAACTCTTTGCACAAGTCCAGGTAGATGACATCAGTTGCTCTTCCCTTGTCCACTGCCGCTGTAACCCCTTCATAGAAGGCCACCAAATTTGTCAGGCATGACTTGCCCTTGGTGAAGCCATGCTGGTTGTCTCCAATCACCTCCTTGTTTTCTACGTGTCTTAGCAGAGTTTCCAGGAGGATCTGCTCCATGATCTTGCCAGGCGGAGGTGAGACTGACTGGCCTGTAGTTCCCTGGGTCTTCCTTCTTTCCATTTTTGAAAATAGAGGTTATGTTTCCCCTTTTCCAGTCGGCAGGAACCTCACCAGACTGCGACGACTTCTCAAATATGATGGCTAGTGGCTTAGTGACTTCATCTGCCAATTCCCTCAGGACCCGCGGATGTATCTCATCAGGTTCCATGGACTTGTGCACCTTCAGGTTCCTCAGGTGGTCTCGCACTTGATCTTCACCTACAGTGGGCGGTTCTTCATTTTCCCAATCCTCGCCTTTGCGTTCTGCATCATGGGCAGTGTGGCTGCACTGTATAGACATATAGATGTGGTGCTTAGGGACATGGTTTAGTAGTGGACTTGGCAGGAATTAGGTTTACGGTTGGACTCAATGGTCTTAAGGGTCTTTTCCAACCCGAATGATTCTATGATTCTATAAATGACAGTCTTTTTTTGGGAAGGAGCTTATGGTCTAAAGGCTTTGGTGGATCGCTGGGACAAGTGAATAGAATAGGAGGTGATATGGTGGAGTAAAAGAGTGTGATGAATATAATGGTTGCATGTTTCTTTGTCTTCTTGAGGAGTATGCTGAGAAACATTGGTATGCCATAGCAGCACAGTAGGTACTTTTTGTGCATAGGTTGCTCTGTAAAAAACAAGATTTCAGGAAAAAAACCCATGGGTTGTTTTTCAGCCCAAGAGAGCAGGGTGTGTATGTTTGTATGACCTCCAGGTTCAGTTATTAAATACTAGCTCAGTCCTCATGTTGAGAGGTTTGAAAGTGGGGTGTTGTTGGTTTGGTTTTGTTTTTAAAATCTCATCTGTTCTCAGCTGCCTTAAGAATATTTGGAGATGTGGAACATTTCTTGAATACTTTGTTGAAGATTTAGTCCTGTCGAGCTGGACTGGCAAAACAGGATCTTCTCATCTACTTTCTGCCAGACTCTATCATGGTCATGCGTATTTACATTCAAACAGTGGTTTAATTGAAATTGGAAACCTGTGCATGTTTAGTAATGTTCTTTTCTGTACCTCAGTCTCCCAGCAAAGATGTAGGAGTTTTTGCAAGGTGTTCAGATGCACGTTTTAAATAAGAAGAAGGCTTAATACTTTTGTTTTCTAAATCTAAGTCCCCTGTGCTACTCGTGGAGAAAAAAGTCAGGTTCAGTCCTCCTCAGTAAGGGGCTGACTAATGGGAAGAATACTTGGCCATGTTTGAAGTAGATTCAGCTAGGTCTTACACCGTATCTGCGGTACCCTTTGATGTTTTCCTTCTATGATTTATACAAAGTGGTTTGTGAGATCTGCATATTGTAATTGGATTATGTATATTCGTTTTCCCGGTTCCTGATGTGGGAAAGTGATCATGCAGTAACCCCTAAAGAATGTTTGCCGTATACACTTCTCTGAGAAGTGTGTATATGTATCTGGAAACTAAAGAAAACCGGGAATTTCTGTTGTACTTAAGATTGCTTTCACATCCTTTGTTCAGAGGAACCGTGTAGGTGCGATGTGCGCCATTACCACTCCTAAGACATACAGTTGCTTAGGACCTTACTGTTTCTACTCTGAATGTTTTTATTGGTATACCTGGTTTTTGCAATGCATCTGGTTAACTGTCACAATGAAATAAATCAATGAATAGTATACATACATATACACATTTATAAAATCTGACAGCTCTACTGTGTAGAACAGGCATACTCTTACATTTATAATCTCAGTTATTTCTTAGTTCCTTCTTTGCAAAAGATAGAAATAAATCTCTCTGGTTTCTGTACCCATATAGCTGCACTCAGATTGAGTTACACCAATACAGATGGATACAGGAGCAGGATTCCAGGAGAGTTTGTTTGTGGGAAGATGGGAGGTGAGGAAGGGTGAAGTGAAGTACCCTTTGGTTATCATGCACAACTTCACAGTAGGTTTAAGCTGGTCAGAATGCATCTGGAGAGTAAAATCCATTAATATGTCAAAAGAACAATCAAAGAATGATTACTGCAGAAAAGCAGTTAACTTCTTGCAGCCCACAAGTAACTTCCCCAACGAAACTTATCGTGTGTGTTCCTATTAATATGTAAATGTAATTAATACACATATTAAAATAATATATATGAGAAAATACATACCTGTATAACTAAAGTATGTATTATTTGTTGCCCACTTGGTTTTAGGGAAGTAGAGTCTACTTGGCAGATCCTGATTTAATCCTTCTGTTGGTAGTTCCCTCTCTAAAGGTCTCCTTATTTTTGATATAACCAAGATATAGTAAAATCTAGTAGGAATTCTAATATTCACTTAGTGCCTTCCATGGTTTCCACCTGTACTTTGTGTGTAGTAGCCTGACTTTTGTGAGAACAATCTGATATCAATGATTATTTTTCCTGGATTGCTGTTTTTTAGTCTTATCAGTTTTGGGAAAGAGCTACAATGTCTTAAGACTTTTAGCACAAGTTGAGGTAGGTTTTACTGTTTAATTGCAGAGGGGTTTTGTATTGTGATATCACCACCTTGTGTTACTAGTTGGGAATATATTTTTTTGCGCTTTCTTTAAACAGGTACACACTAAATTTGAACATCGTATGCTAATGCATCAAGAAGTGAAACTGAAATTGGAGAAAAAGAAAAAAGCTCTAGAAGATGAAATTGCTATGTTTATTGAGAAGAAAGCTAATGCTGAATTGCTTCAATCACAAGCATCTGTCTCTACCCCTCTTGTTAGTTTGAAGAGAGACAAGGACCGCAAAAAGTGAGTACTGATGCTAGTCATCAGAGGCAGCAATAAAAAAATTCAACACATATCACTTTTACAATGCCAATTTTAGTAATCTTTTAGAAAGGATATAAACATGGTCCTATTCTGTTATTTGATAAGAAGACAGAAGTGTGTAAAATACCCTCATGCTTGGATCACTGGCTCTATTACTTTTAGAGTAATTGCTGTATGTTCTATGAGCATTCTTTCTTTTTTTTCTTTTTTTTTTTTTCCATGAAGGAGCCAAGGTTTTCGACTTGAACTCCTGTGCTTTGATGTCAGAGATGAAGACACTGTGAACGTTCACGCACAGAGCAAGAGGGAGAGGGAGAAATTAGAGAGGGAGAGAAATTCACCCAGGGAATTCCAGAAATAGTATTTGATTGCAGCACTCAGGTTTTGAATGTAGGATATGTTAGTTTTATGAAGCGGTCTGACTCCTGCTGTCCCATAATACTACATGTGTCTTCCTAGTACAGATTTTTGAGAGGAGAGATTGATAAAATTGGCTGTAAAATTGCACTGAGTGCAGAATATGACCTGATAAACATTTCACTTTCTTCCCTCCCACACACTTCTTTCTTTCTCCACTACAAAAAGAAAAGCTCTAATAAATTGTCACCTTTCAGAAATGAAAGTAGTCTCCAGCATAACATGCCCAGCTTCTTCATATATAAACATTAAATTAAGTTGAATTAATTTTTTTTTGTCCTCCAAAACCAGAAGTCAAATAACTTATTAATTTCCTTTCCTGATAGGTTACAACTTTACTGCAGATAACATTTTGTTGATTAATATCTTACTGCAACTGAAAGCAGATTTTTTGGTACAGAAATTATCCATAACTGCTAAATTAAGAAAAACTTTAGAAGCTAGGTGGGTGCATATACTTCCACAAACATCACCAAGGCAGCTTTGACATTTTGGGGGTGTATGCTAGCAGCCTGCTTGTGTTTTTGCCAAAGTTTATTGCATTTCAAGTAATGTTACTGAGTTCCTTTTGCTCGACTCCTTTTTCTGGATTTACATGTGAAAGCGCAATTTTTGGTAACAGAGGTCATTATCTGCACTATTGTGAATAACTCTCAACTTCAGAAAATTTTTAGATTTGTTTTCTCTGTTATAGCTTTATTTCGTCAGAGTATGTTGCAGTTTATATGCTTGCTTTTGTTTTTCAGTTCCAGCTTTATGTAATACTGATGAGAGAAGAAACAATGCTGATAATTTCTCTTGAGGATGCAAAGATTCAAAGTGTGCTTTTGGAGGTATAGGAATTGCAGTTTTTTACTAAAGGATTTAGAAAACATCTCTTGTTGCTGCATGCTGCAAAAGAAGAATTGTGAAGTATGACCCGTACACATACGGTGTGGCAATTACTGTCATTGCCATCAGAGACTTTCTGTTAAGAGTCTGCCTTGATACGCACTTGCCTTACATATATGTGCCCAGCTTGCTTTCCTTATAAGTGCATTGTACCAAAGAAAACGTCTCTGCCATAAACTGTTCCATTCATAACATGAATGCTGTACTACAAAAGTATTCGGTGAATATATCCACTATAACCTTTCTAAAGAGTTATTTTCATATGGTATGGTGTATTAGTCTACTAAATATTATTTAATACAATTATTGACATCATTCAACCACTTACTGATTTTGCTGATGGATTTTGTTTATAGGCTTTTATGTACAAGCACTGTCTTAAATTTCAGATATCATCTTTCTAATCAAAATTTACTGAGATATTTTTGCGGTGCTGTATTGTTGCACGATAGTTTATCTGACATTACTAACTTAATATGGAAAGTACCTATAACTTTTTGATGCTTGTGACTGTAGTGTTCAGTTACAGCAGAGGAAAAAATGTTAACTACCAGAGCTTCAGGTTAAAACAAGTTTACAATGTTTTTTGTATTTTCAGTCGCCGTGATAACTAATGGGAAACTATAAGAGGTGCAGTTGTCTGAAGTTGTTTTGTGTGACTCTTTAAAAATGAAATACTAACTTGATAAAAATAAAATACATTGGTTTTGCTTAAGTGTTTCTGTTGTTCTGCTTCCTCTCCCTCCCATGTTATTAAAAACGAAGAGTAAGATTTCACATTAATCTGAAAAATATAAGTGTTTCACTTCTGTTTAAAATGTGTTAAGTCATTTATTGATTAGAAAAAACAGGTGATTTGTGCATACAGTGCCAGAAAGGCAATATTGACCTGTGATATACTTGTCATATACCACTGTACTTGTGGAATCACAGAATATCTCAAGTTGGAAGGGACCCATAAGGACCATCGAGTCCCACTCCCTGCTCCTCACAGGAATACCTAAAACTAAACCATATGACTAAGAGCAGTGTCCGAGTGCTCCTTGAACTCTGAGAGGCTCCCACTGCCCTGGGGAGCCTGTTCCAGTGACCGACCTCACCTTCTATTTTACTCATGCAGTGATGCATCTCATATAAGATTGTTTTCCATCAATTCCACAGCAATGGGAAAGAATAGATGCTAAGATATATAAACCCTTCATTGACCAGGAAAGGGTCAAACTGCTAGTTCCTTCAGCTCCACTGGCACAGCAGGCTGTAACATAGGAGGGAAGGGTTAAGAGGAGACACCCATTTAGCCTCACACTCAGCACTCCTGTAACTGAACTTCTCTCGAGGGAAGAAAATGGGCCAGGGCCAGGCCTTGTGATTGCTGTCTGATTGCTCCTTCCTGAGCAAAATGTAGCTTGATGAAAGACTGTATTTTTTGTTTGGCTTTGACTGGACCATTTGCATCTGTTTGATTAGAAACAAGGGATACGCCCTACTTAAAGGAGGTAACAGCCAAATGAAAAAAAAAAATATTTTTTTTTTAACTGAGCAGTCAATTTGGAAGTGTTATGAAGTGATCTCAAGCAGAATGTAATTACAATTAAGTGATGTGTGCTGTCAGCACTCAGTTGTCCCCACGTGGGTTATCACAGTGGCTGATGTTAGTTAGCTCAAGCACAGCTCTTCATGAGTGGTACCAAACTGCATCAGAAGACAGATTTAGCTGTCTATAGTGTGGCAAATTGGCTGAGGACAAAGCCTGAGATGGTTAAGTGCTGTTTGACCTAGATAGCTCTGTGCTTGGCCAGTACTGGAGGATGCACTGTGCTTTGACAGCTGGGAACTGCGAGTAGTACCCAATGGGTACCATGTCTTGGTCAGAATGGGTTTATGTTCAGTCACATGTGTTGGCCCTGCAGGACTCGGCAGCAAAAGAAAACTGGTACAGATGCCTGTGCAAGTCTTTGGAGCAGGTGACAATTAAAGGGAATTTGTTCAGTTGCAGCACAAAATGAGAGAGATGGTGAGTTTTTCTTTTTTTTTTTTTCATTTTCCTGATATTCATTTAAGCAGTGGAGAGTCATCTGTAAATATGGGAAATTCCATAGTTGTTTTGTTGAAGTTTGCGTAAAGATGAGATATCAGGTTAGTGCACAAGCACACATCACAGCCTGACAGTCAAATGCAGTTCGAAGAATTATAAAGGAACAACTAACAATATCTCCTGAAAGTGGAGAATTAATAGTGGTAGTAAATAAAAATGTTTATGCCTCACTGTAGTTTATCTTAGCTATGGGCTTTTTAATTGAACACTTCAGAGAGGTTTATCCTGCAGATGAAATGGTTTCAGGACCATTTATTAAGGTCTCTTTATTGTTATGGTACCTTCTGCAAGCGACTGCTGCAAGATTATTTACAAGTCTGAAGCCTTTACCTTTTTAGGTCCTTTCCTTAGGATACTTCCATATATATATTTTGTATGTTTATTCTTAACTATGTATTTAAAATTACTTTGCCACGAGAAGACACAGCCAGGATGCATAAGTGGTTTTATCTTAAATCTCGTACCGCTAACAATATAGCATTGCCTACATATTTGGTGTCAGAAACATATTTAGATTTGCATTGTGGAATTAGGTAGAGAATATACCGGACATCAAAAATTAAGAATGTATGGACATTGGAAGCAAGGACAGGCAACATGGGAGGACTATAGAGTTGCTGTTCACCACTGTAGGGAGAAAATTTGTGCAGCCAAAGCTCAATTAGAGTTCAAGCTGGCCAGCACTGTGAAGGAAATAACAAGGGCTTTTTAAAATGCGTTAACAACAAAAGGATGGTCAGAGATAACATTGCCCTGTTGCTTGATGAGGTCGGTGACATCACAAATAGGGGTGTAGACAAAGCAGAGGCATTGAATTCCACCTTTGCCTGTGTCTTTAACACCAATTATGGGCCTGGGGACTCCTGGAGCCCTGTGTTGAAAGACCATGAGTGGGGGGATGATAAACTCCTAGCCGACCCTGAACTTGTTCAAGACTTGCTGCTCCAGTTGAATGCGCATAAATCTATGGGGTCCGATGGGATTCATCCCAGGGTACTGAAAGAGCTGGCTGATGTTATTTGTGGGACCTCTCTCCCCTATTTTTCAATGGTCTTGGGAGCCTGGAGAGGTCCCAGTTGACTGGAAGCTGGCAAATGTCCCCATTTTCAAGGAGGGTAAGACGGAAGAGCTACAGGTTTGTCGGTCTCACTTCAGTGACTGGTAAAACTACGGAGAAACTTATTCTGGGAGTTACTGAAAAGCACTTGAGAGGCAACGCAGTCATTGGTCATAGCCAGCATAAGTTCATGAGGGCAAAGTCCTGCTTGACCAACTTTGTTTCCTTTTATGCAAGGTCACCCATCTAGCTCATCAAGGGAAGCCAGCAGATGCGGGGGTTTTTTTTGCATTTTAGCAAAGCTTTTGATATTGTCTCTCACAGTATCCTTCTTGATAAAACATCCAGCACACAGCTAGACAAGTCTGTAATACGTTGGATGAGCAATTGGCTGACAGGTCGGGCTCAAAGAGTTATAAAGCGTGTTACACCAGGCTGGCAGTCAGTCACCAGTGGGGCTCCCCCAGGCTGCGTTTTAGGCCTAGAGCTCTTTCATGTTTTTATAAATGATTGGGATGCAGGAGTCGAAGGTACATTAAGTTTGCTGATGTTACTAAATTAGGAGGAGCTGTGGACACCGTTGAGGGTAGAGAGGCCGTATAGACAGATCTGGGTAGGCTGGAGAGGTGGGCAATCCCCAGCCGTATGAAATTTAGCAAGAACAAGTGCTGGATTCTCCACCTGGGATGGGGTAATCCTGGTTATATGTACAAATTAGGGGACAAGAGGCTGGAGAGCAGCTTCATGGAAAGAGAGCTGGGGGGACTGAGTATGAGTCAACAGTGTGCCCTGGCAGCCAAAAGGGCCAACCGTGCCCTGGGGTGCATCAAGCACAGCATAGCTGGCCAGCTGGGGGAGATGATTGTCCCACTCTACACTGCACTGGTACAGCCCCACCTTG